GTCACTTGACACGGTGGTAGGAACATTTTCTGTGTCATTTGATGGGACGGGGTGAGGTCTTTGTCCGTCTGTGGTAGGGACGTTTTCTGTGTCACTTGACATGGTGGTAGGGATGTTTTCTGTGTCATTTGATGGGATGGGGTGAGAACAATGAAAGGAGTATTAACAGCTGTGATAGCTACTGTTTCCTTTACAGTTCAATAGATAACAGTGTATGTCATCTAGTCAGGGTTATCTATATAGGTCAAGGTCAACACTGATAGGACAGGGTCAAGGTCAATATTCCGGTTTATTGTTAACAGAGGTTTTATAGGCCAAAAAATGTAACTGTACAGATAACACGCTATTGAAATATAGGAAAATCTGCTGAAACAATAATAATACCTTTTGTTTCTCTGACTCATAGTTTGATCATAATGATGGTCTTTGCTTCAGTCAAAAGCTCTGATTCAAATGCTAATCAAGATGGCTTGTGTTTCTCAGGAAGTTTAGACAAGGGATTGTCCGATAGTGTCATACTTGTGTCCTTGAGCCAGACACTTTACAAAAGTTGCTTTTGATGTCATGCAATGGGCAGCTACTTTCTTGTTGTTCAGTGAAGAAGCTATCAGCTGCCACCAGGAGACCAGTTTCAAATTCACCGCAGCTGTTTATATTGTGATAAACCTAGCAAAAGATAACAAATTAGTAAAACATAGTGAGAAGAGATTAAAAAAAATCTTTTTTTAAACATTCAGATAATTTGAACATTATGAAGAATGCAAGGTATACAGGTGTGATTTATAGAAGATTCACCCTATTTCTTAATTAACAATAATTCCAGATTCGATAGTACCCAAGTAGTTCAGGAGTCTGACTTTCTTTATCACAAACCTTCCATATGTGGTCGGGAGTTTGAGGTCCACGTGGGGCAGATACCGAGTACTGGCTTTAGGTCAGTTGTTTTTCCTTTGAAACTTTGACTTTCATCCATCACCTAAACCTGGCATGTTCTTATACAGCAACAATAAAGTCAACTAATCAGTTACCAATAAAATATAGATAAAAAAATAATTACAGGGAGATAACTCTGATTCAAGGAAATGATATAAACAAGCTAGCATATAGCCTTAAGTTAATCATGTGAAGTAAAGTTTTAGAAGGTCATCTCATTTGAAGTATTTGTCAAAGGGATGAATATCAACAAGGTCAAAAGTTCATTTCAGTTTGAAGTACCTGTCTCCACAAATTGCTAAGCCTACATTGAAATGACACCTGTTTATCAAAACCAGAAACAAATGTTTACTTACAAATGTTAACTTAACAAAAAAATAAATACTGGGATTCAAAAAAAAACTTTATCATTAATCCTCTCTCTTAAACATACTAATTTTAAGCACATATGACTTAAAATTAGACTTCAAAGTGGTGACACAAAAACAAACATTTGAACATGACTTAAAAATTGGTGTTTAAATAGAGAGAGGGATTAAATTTCGCTAAAGTTTGAATAAACAAATGTGTGTATTTACAAAAAAAATCAAGTCTGTTTGCCAAACTTTAAAAAAACTGCAATAACAGTGATGTTTGTGTGTGAGATGACTGAGAGAGGTATATAATCTGATAGAAGGGGATTATGTTCATTAATGCTGTAGGTGTAATTTACTGTACCACAATGGATACGTTCGGAACGTTTGCCTGCACTCAATTATAATGACTTGTACTGACATATCAGTAAAATATTCATTTTTCTTCAGGCGTTTTGTTGTTTTATATGAATTCTGAATATTTTAATTTATCAAGAAGATATTTGTGTGTAAGTAATCAATAGAACAGCCGCCTCACCTGAGAAATAATTCTATTCTCATGAGTAGTAAAGAACAAATGTAATTCAATTCTAATTACTTTTCACATTGTTATACTACTGTTTAAAAGAATTTCAGTCCTAAGTTCCAGAATCCTCATTTGTATTGTAACCCTGGTAAATATGATCTGATGTCTACCACAGGGACAATGTAACCCTGATAAATATGATCTGATGTCTACCACAGGGACAATGTAACCCTGATAAATATGATCTGATGTCTGATAAATATGATCTGATGTCTACCACAGGGACAATGTAACCCTGATAAATATGATCTGATGTCTACCACAGGGACAATGTAACCCTGGTAAATATGATCTGATGTCTACCACAGGGACAATGTAACCCTGGTAAAAATTTGCAGTAATGTGTGACGAAGGACTTCTCTTACTAGTGATGTTTCAGGATGTTCCTGAACAGGGACATGCATGACGAAGGACTTCTCTGACAAGTGAACTTTAATTGCTTGTGAAAAGACTCAGAAGGATTCAAACTACTGACATTTGCAACGTGGAACATATGTGACTCAGGACGTCTCTCAGTATGAATATTTGTTATTGTCCGTCTCTGACAATGGACGTGTTTGATTCTGGCCGTTTAGACTGCGATATGATATTAAATAAGATAACGAAAGGCTAAATCATGATAGCCCTGTGTTCAATATCACCTTGAACCCACCTCCAGCCACGTTCTACCTGCTTTATTTTGTATCTTCAATGAAGAAGGGTCCGAAAAGTAGTAGGGGTCTTTACCTAAGAATAACTAGAGATTAAATCTGAGCTCAACTAGAGCCACACCCCGGGTGTCTAAGTCAGTAAGGTATATGATATAAAAACAATCCACATTTTATTAATTGTCTATGTTATTAAAAGTTAATTAGATATGAAATTCTGAACAGAGTTAGTGAACTTTTCCACCTCTATTGATGGTGAGGTTGTAATGCTGTCCCCTCCTCCCACTCCTCACACGTGTAAAACAATGATATAACCTGCCTTATCATTTATATACATGTATATATTTGTTAATAAAGCTTGAAACAACTCACCAACAATGAATTATTGCTAAAACTATTAACTTATAAAATAAATATAGTGGAATTACATAAAAATGTTTTTGAATGTTAAAAAGATAATAATTTGAAGTTTTAAAAAAGTCCTGGCGAAATTGTTTGAAACTTGAGGAACAAAGGACATCTTCTAAAAGCCTTGAGAAATTTTCAAATGGAAAACTTTGGTTTTTAGGTTTTTATTGGCTAATCCTCAAAATCTGCAAGGGTTTAAGTCTTTCAGTTCAAGTGGATTGTATGTAGATGTTTTGACTTGTCACACTGACCTTCTGATAACCTAGATAGGTGTTGTCATATATATATATATATAATGCCTTGCCCATCCTCGTGTGAAATAATAACTCCCCATCCCACACAAACACTAGGTGTAACTGTAAGACCTAGACCTATACAGAGACCTCTTAGTCAGGACTGTGTAGTCAACAAAGTTAACGATTTAAAACCTTACCTGGTCAGGTGTGACATATTTAGATACTGTTGATAATTACGGGCATTAGAACGAACAGCATTTTAAAAGGATGTTTGCTTCTGGCGTAGAAAACATATACAAATATACACAACTTTGATGGTAAAAAAATTGCTCAGTTCTTTCAGATTAAATCAGAAATGGTGATACAAAGATGGATATGATTGATGTGAAATGTATTGACACCTGATGGGCTTCATGTTAGTGAAAGTACTTCATAGCAAATATTTCTTATCTTTTCCATTTTAAACATAATGATTTTGGCAACTTAAGACAAATGTTTGGGTATTTAAAATCATCTCTTGAATTTAATCTCTTGAAAAGCTCAAAAATCTGATATTAAAGAAGAATTTATTTTTCTCAAAATTTGAGTCTATCTGAGCTTTTGTAGTAACTTTATACCGAAGATTAGTTATTAGTAGATAGTACAAAGATATTCTGATAGATATGTGAGATCCAAGACAGTTTTGATACGGACAAGAACATCAGTTGCTTAATGGGTTTATTGCACTATGAGCAGCCAGGGTCAAGCTGATGGCTACCTTGCTGAACAACTTAAGGGAGGACCATCACATGCTGTCAAGGTATATGAGATCCAAGACAGTTATGTTACAGACAAAAACATCAGCTGCTTAATGGGTTGATTGCGCTATGAGCAGCAAAGGTCAAGCTGATGGCTACCTCACTGAACAACTTAAGGGAGGACCATCGCCTGTCGTCAAGAGCAATTAAGTAAAGTGTCTTGATCAATTATGCAATCAAGACAGTACAGGAAAGTTTGTTTTTTGGCAAGTTCCTAAGATACTTGGTACACAAACCACCATGGTTATAGGGATCGTGAATTAGACAGATATTCTACTGACTAAGCTTTCATAGTCCATAAAAATAAATGTATGAGTGTGGTTTATCATAAATAAGTATCTGAATACATATATAACTGGTAGTGATACATAACAATGGTGAGGGTATAGTAGATAAATGCAGAACTGTGGTTTGGTCGTACAAATACAAACCATTGCTCACCCCCACTCATGCTCATTAAGATTCTATGAGCAAAAATTTATTAGATTTCCACAGAAATTGGTTTCTTCCCCGGAAATTAGCCGCTGAAATCTGCTGAACATGTGTATCAGTAATTATAAAGCTGTAATTGCGTGGAAGCAAAGCGTTTGTCAAAAGTGCATCTCTGAGATACCAGGAGACTGTATGTTTGTGTAATTTTCACTTCTGCTGCTGTCTAGTCTGTTAAATGTACGTATTCTGCTTGAATTTCTGAGAAATACAACCAGATTTACCAGCACACTATCTTTATCAATTTGCCATCATTTACTGTGTGTTCAAACAAAACTTGTTTATTTTTGTATTTAATGTGGTGTTACAATAATACTATTTGTTATGTTCCAATAGAAAACTGTTCATTTTCATTCAGTCTTTATTTTGTCTTAAAAGAAATGAAACAAATATTTCAGTTCAGTATCAAATGTTAGCCCACCGTCTATTTTTGATGAAGTGGCAAAAGAAAGTATTGAGTAAAAGTTAGACTGCCTAAAAAGCTTCCTAGTATTAACTGGAAGTCACAGTCAGACAGCTTCTTGTTCATGCAATCTTTCTTATACTTTCAGTGAAATTAAGGGTTGGGCTGCTGCAGAAGTCGTAACAACAAGTTGACCCATCTTAAGGTAAACCATATCACTTGTTCACTGAAGCATTGAACTACTTTCTGTTGGCAGTCATGAGCACATGAATGTTAATTAAAGGCAGTTTAATGCCTTTGTGATATTTATCATTTTCATCTTGTTTACAGCCACTTGTAATTTTCCTACATCATTAGCAGTCCATGACCAGATTAATACACAAATGACTTTGGTAATGTTACACAATAGCAGTGTCATACAATGGTAACTACAGTAGAATGATAACTGGCAGAATTTCATTACTACCTGGAGTGATACTTTAATGTAAGTGATTACAGCACGCATATCTGGAGTTTGGAGGTTCTAGGTTCGAGTCAGTGTATCATCCTGGCATTGTTTTCCTGTTACATTTGGCAGCCAACTTAATATAACAATAGAATGTACTCTAGATGTATCGGGGACTAATTGTTCTATCCATGGTGGCCTGTTTTATTGGTTAGACTGTCAGTGAACAGTTCTCAGAGCCTGGGATTGAATTCCTGTCTGGTCCTAGCATTTTTCCTGTCTTGTTATATCATGTTGTCTCCAGGTACGTCATCTTTGCTGTCCATGTAACAGTGTAGGCTTTGGGGTGATATACCAGGAAATAGTGTGCAATAGTACAGTCTCTATGTATCACTATTGTGGTTGTCGTGGTTACAGCACAACCACAAATATACATGCCAAACAGATAAATGCATCTTGACAATAAACTGTTTTCACCACCACTAAAACAGTAGATTGTTCACATTAAAAAGAACCAATGCAGAGTGTCATGTGACAAAATATAATGTCATAAAAACTGATGAATTCCAACAAATTCAACTAATTATCATTCTCTAGACCAGCATCCATCATGGTACCAAAATTGTTACAATAACATTACTTTCCTTACAATTCAATTACAAATATCTTTCACAGAGCACCATGACAGAACAAAACATTTCTCACCAATTTAAATTTCATCTTTTCCAAATATAGTTCTTGTTTTAAGTGAAATAAGTTTGTCAGGATCAGACAGCTCCCCATTGACAAACCTTGAATAGTCTCGTCCTTGTAAGTGAGAGCAATTTATCGGTTCAATTCTGGTTTCTGACAATTGACACTCCAGCAAGGTCCTCCATCAATCAAGCTGCTGTATTCATCAAACAGATGACCAATGAACAGCCGGTGTGGTGAGCCAGCTGCTAGTATCCCATGATTCCACATTCTTCACAACCTATAATTCTTGTTCATTTTCACCATGATGCAGTCGAACAATATAAGTCACCTCATAATGGAGGAAGGTGTTGGTAGTTGACTCACATTGGAGGGAGGCTTCAGTAATTGACTGACAATGGAGGGAGGCATCTCTATCTAAACCTGTTGTTGAAGGGAGGTTTCAGCATTTCCTTCACAATAGAGTAGTTTTATTATGTAGTTGACTGACAATGGCAGGAACAAACAATAGAAAATGGCTTCAGAAGTTGTGATTGATAATAGAAATTCATTCTTTGTAAAGAATACAGGAGGTTGGTTTTCTACTGCTTAAGTCCTATCAATACCTCCAGTCAATTAAGGACAGCGGGATTCACACTTTAGTAAGTTAATGAAGTAGAAGCTCAAATTTGTTTATAAAGATTGTAGTTGTTCTATCAGAATTTAATGATAGAGTTTAAATTAACAAAGGGCTAAAGTTTCATGTTCATTATGGTCAAAATAATGTGTACAGTGCATCTTAGAGTAAACTTAACTCTGGGCAAAGTGTTATGTGAGAGTAAACTTAACTCTGGGCAAAGTGTTATGTGAGAGTAAACTTAACTGTGGGCAAAGTCTTACGTGAGAGTAAAGTTAACTGTGGGCAAAGTTTTATGTGAGAGTAAACTTAACTCTGGGCAAAGTTTTATGTGAGAGTAAACTTAACTCTGGGCAAAGTTTTATGTGAGAGTAAACTTAACTCTGGGCAAAGTTTTATGTGAGAGTAAACTTAACTCTGGGCAAAGTTTTATGTGAGAGTAAACTTAACTCTGGGCAAAGTTTTATGTGAGAGTAAACTTAACTCTGGGCAAAGTGTTATGTGAGAGTAAACTTAACTCTGGGCAAAGTTTTACGTGAGAGTAAAGTTAACTGTGGGCAAAGTTTCATGTGAGAGTAAACTTAACTCTGGGCAAAGTGTTATGTGAGAGTAAACTTAACTGTGGGCAAAGTTTTACGTGAGAGTAAAGTTAACTGTGGGCAAAGTTTTATGTGAGAGTAAACTTAACTCTGGGCAAAGTGTTATGTGAGAGTAAACTTAACTGTGGGCAAAGTTTTACGTGAGAGTAAAGTTAACTCTGGGCAAAGTTTTATGTGAGAGTAAACTTAACTGTGGGCAAAGTGTTATGTGAGAGTAAACTTAACTCTGGGCAAAGTTTTATGTGAGAGTAAACTTAACTCTGGGCAAAGTGTTATGTGAGAGTAAACTTAACTGTGGGCAAAGTTTTATGTGAGAGTAATCTTAACTGTGGGCAAAGTTTTACGTGAGAGTAAACTTAACTGTGGGTAAAGTTTTATGTGAGAGTGAACTTAACTGTGGGCAAAGTTTTACGTGAGAGTAAACTTAACTGTGGGCAAAGTTTTATGTGAGAGTAAACTTAACTGTGGGCAAAGTTTTATGTGAGAGTAATCTTAACTGTGGGCAAAGTTTTATGTGAGAGTAAACTTAACTGTGGGCAAAGTTTTACGTGAGAGTAAACTTAACTGTGGGTAAAGTTTTACGTGAGAGTAAACTTAACTGTGGGTAAAGTTTTATGTGAGAGTGAACTTAACTCTGGGCAAAGTTTTTCGTGAGAGTAAACTTAACTCTGGGCAAAGTTTTATGTGAGAGTAAACTTAACTCTTGGGCAAAGTTTTATGTGAGAGTAAACTTAACTCTGGGCAAAGTTTTTCGTGAGAGTGAACTTAACTCTGGGCAAAGTTTTTCGTGAGAGTGAACTTAATTCTGGGCAAAGTTTTTCGTGAGAGTGAACTTAACTCTGGGCAAAGTTTTTCGTGAGAGTATCACAATCATAGATGTACCGATAGGATCTTTTGAGAATTTTGATCAAGGGTTCAGGGTGGTTGATTGACACTTTGGTAACACACTTGAGTTTTATCTAGAAGTTGAGGGTTTGATTCCTGGAACAGACATGATAATGTAAGGGTCACCTGCCCGACCATGTGGGTTTTCCCTGTGTAATCTGGTTTCATCCCACAGGTAGACCCCTTGTGCAATTGCATCTGGCCAACAAATTAATTGATAAACTTGTTTCACATTTGTTGTAACAGTAACAAAGTTTAATTTTTATCACATTATCTGCAATAATGATTAGATAAGGCTTCATCATAATGTAGGGAAGACTTTTTATAATGAGTTTCATTTAGAGAAAGTCAGTCAACTGTTATTTTCATCCCAACGTATAAGTTAAAAGTATTTGAAGGCAAACTTCATGAGTCTAGATAATCTACATTTTGATATAGAGAACCTTTTAAAAATGGAATCTTCTGTAACCAGTAGAGAGAGCCTGTAAATCGAGATGGAGATTTCCACGATTAAAACCTGTTTATTTTTAGTTTGTTATTGGGTGATATGATTACACCGTAGCTCCTGGTTATTGCCTTACTAGTATTTCACCTCAAAGAATCAGATTCTTTTCATATGATGTCAAGAAATAAGGTTCATGAAATCCTAAGAAAAGGTCAAGTCAGTTTTTTTTCATCTTTCAAATCATATACAATCAATGGGAAAAAATAGATAATTGATATATTAGGGAAAAGGCAGTTGTCTTTTTTTACAAAATATTTTGTAATAAAAACAACTGGGTATTTTCCTGTTTCTTAAGGCAAGAAAGAACACTTTCATTTCAGAAAATTATTTCTGTCAATGAAGCCATCTGTTGCTTGTTAAAGACTAACAGAAAAGTTGACCATGCAAAGAACGAAAAAAACAGAAATTACCAGCATCACCAGGACATCCCGAGATGATAAAATCCTCTAGATATGAAATGGTTTTCAACTTTTGTGGTTAGAATTTCAATATTCTTAAAGACAGCTAGAAGCTATTATTTTATGTATTGTGGCCTTGGTTTGGGGGAGTCTCATTTTACCCTCACCGTGTCAACTCAGTTGCCACAGGCTGTGAAGGGCCCATCGTGTTTGTTGTTGCTTTAGTGAAAAAGGAGGTGATTGGACTTAGAACGGATGTATAGAGTCGCGTGGACACCTTTCTCTTCCTCACCTGTGATTAAATATGATCAAAGGCATTAGGTGTGTCCCACCTGCCATGTATTGTGTGCATAACCACTGTCACCTGTCCACGACTAGTCCTAGGTCAGCGTCTCTTAATACCCACAACAGTTACATGTTATTGAGTGTTATCTGTGTACGTCCTCTACACACATGCAAAGTTTTAGTACAAGTCTGTTATCTTAACAGCTCTGTAAATGTTTCAGAGCAAATTAAATCAGCAGTATTGACAATTTTACCTTTGGAATCAGGATAAAGAACTCTTCAAAATGTTTTAATAGGCAAATAGTACTGACTATAGAAAGGAAAGAGGAAGGCCAGGTGAGAATGTAGAAATAGGACAGCGTATGATGAAGGGGTGGGGGCAGTGCCTGTTTTCAGGGGATACAATAGGTAGCGTCGTTTATGGCCATATGGCTGCCTGAAATATGGTTTGGGGGTGACAAGAGATAGAGGTAAAGTGGGTTTATAAGGGTTTATTGGGAAAGGGTTCTTCAGGCTGGGAGTGAAATACAAGGTCACAGGGGATTGTGGCCAAGTAGATGACTTAATAAAATGTTTTGGCTATTTTATCTGGCATTGCAGATCCTGATAAACACATCGGAAGCCATTCTTCTGCTGTTCTTGCGTGTTTATGTTTGTGTATGGTGAAGTCTACAAGTTCAATGATACATGAGTTCTGGTAATGAAGTTCTGTAATATCACAGCTATGGCCCTTCTTCTACAACAGTTCTTCTGTGGTGAGAAAAAAAATTTAATTGAAT